TTTTTAAAAATTAAAAGAAAATATTTTGTCAAAAGCGGTTGTATTATTAGATTGCTCGGTAGTAGTAAGTAGGGCCCATCGCCATTCAGGGATTCATTTGGACATGGAGGAAGTAAGCGTTTCCCTAGAAAGCACACAGGCATTACATAACTGGTCAGGGGCATAGTTTAAATAACCCCTTCTAATAAATCTGCCAAATATTGTGTTTGTGAGATTTTGGTCTATTTGGTTTTTTCAGAAATTATAGAAAATGTTACGTATTGTTATTAAAGGCGTTGTAGGAGAGTGCTGAGTATCAGTGTTACTGTAAGTAAAAGTATCTAACCCTCTCCAGGGCGCATTTGGACTCGGACTTGGACCCCGGACTTGGACCCCCTCCCCCGCCATCCGAGAGCTCACGAGTTACGCAAATGGGTCCTGTTTATTTTAATATGATAGTGATATGCCATAATTGGACTTTATGGGACAATACATGAAACACTACACCGTTTCTGATATATAAACTGCAATACATTATTCAGTATCGGAAGAGCTTTCCAACTATACCAAACACGACTACTTTTTGGTGAGTTTATATACTTATTCTTATTTTATACACATTTTAAGTATATTTTGCGGATATTTTAAAACAAATAAGCACCTATTTTTGAATTATGTTCCAATCTGGCATGAGTGACAGTAGTTTTTATATGTATGGTTTGTTGCATGTATAGAAATTAGGATTTTAGACACCAACATCATATCTGTAGCTTATTTAGTTCCAATTATATGCACATTTTAGATAAATTTGTATACCAGGTGAAAAATCAAGTGTCAACAGGTCTTAGGGTGACCAGGGCAGATTAATTAGGATATCTGGCTATGTTGACTGCTTCTAACATTCCACTCCCCCTAACTTGATTTCTAGGCCTCTTTTTTGATTTTTATCCTAGTCTATTAGACAAATTTGAAGATAATTTATTTATCAAACCATTACAGTACAAATGCTTCCATCATTTTCTTCATAGGTTTCACAAAGGCTGTGTATACCCCTTTAGAATTTCTCATTACAGTGGCGTATGTACAGAGGGGGTCAGAGTGTTCGGCCTCTAAAAAAACTTGTAATATTTGCACCCCCTTGCCCCCTGTGTCAGTACTCATAAATACTCTACTGCTCATGAAGTATCTGCATTTGGGGGAATTTTTACCCTTCACGAGGAAGGCAACTTCAATGTCCATTTTGATTTTCAGGTCAGTGCAAATTGTTGATCATACTCTGACTTGAAACCTCATGATTTTTACCAAGCAATCAAAATGATAGTTAAAATAAAAATTTTATGATTAAGAAAAATATACATTATCACTTTGATAACGTATGCAATCAGACTTTTTATCATTATTACTTGGTCGATGATGCAAAAGGCAAAGGTCGTTTGTAATATCGACTATTCGTAAAATGGACGTTTGGTGGGTTTTGCCATACAAATAATTTCTGAAACCAGACTACTTTGCTGCTGCTGTTAACATTTTTGGACTACTGTACGTTGTTGCCAGCCAGAGGATGATAATGGTGGTACAACACAACAACGCTGGCTTCAACACCTACGTTATGTAATTGTGTCCTTGTAATCCGAGCCGACTTTACTGTTAGGCAAATTAATTTACCGTTATTCTAGTAAAGTTAAGTCACTTAACGATAAGTGACTTAAGCCTTTATCTAGCTATAAATGACTGGTTCACGTCAAACTTTTAACTAGTTAAGTGGATCTATATCTAGATAAAAGTTCGACGTGAACCAGGTTATAGATGAGACAGTCAAACTTACTTACTTACTTTAGTGTCTTTTAGGTTCATCAATGCAGTGGTGGAGGTGTCAGCATGTGTATCCGACATAAAAGATCTACATTAGGACAACATATGAAGGACCATGATACCCACCCAAACACTATTAATAAATGTTTCAAGACACCAAAGAAATGTAGAAGTAAATTTGACTGTCTTATCTATGAGATGCTATACATCAGACAATTAAAACCTAGTCTGAATAAACAATCTGACTATCAAATATCAAAGCTAAGCTCTTTGTCTAAATTTGGCATAGCTAATTACCATCTCATTTGTATGAACTTTAACCTTTTAGTTTATAGAAGCAGTACTGTTATTTATCTCATTTGAACTTGAGAATGACTTCATGATGGAGTTGAAACGTCTTTCCTTAATTAGCGTTAATCAAAAAAATACACAAAGAATAATAATACCAGTATTTAAATGGTAATATTATTATACTTCATTAATCATCTTTATTTTCATCATAGGTTAGCATGAGCTCCACAATTTCATTAGGCCAAAAAAAAAAATTGTTGTAGTTTCACTTTGTCCATATTTTTTTGTAAGGGTATTTATTTTTTGCTATTTACTATACTAGCAGTAAATAATAAATATATTTTTTGAATAAAAGAAGTAAAATGAATTTTGGTAATATACTCTGCCATTTATATTTTTATTTTTTCTTATTTTATTCATTCTGGCAAATATACATATATAAAAACATTACAAAAATCAAAATATCAGCAATTTATGTTAGAATTTGACAGCAATCTTTCACATCATCTATTTTTATTTTTCATGGAAAAATGATTATTTTTTGGAAAAATAGCATATAGTAATTTTTTTGATGAGGCTTTAAAATTTTATGAAGGCGGGGGCCGCATGAAACTACCAATTAATTTTATTTGACCTTAACTTTCTATTCCATGCTCTGCTACATCAATGCACAATGAATACGGATACTGGCACACAAAAAATGATTTATGATTCCTTTGAAACAGGATGTAGCCTGGCACATCCTTTATAGGAACATACCTTGTAAACATACAGCAGGATATCATTAATAGCAGACCTCACAGAAGTCACAAAAACATCTTGCAAAGTATTGCTAACGCAGGCGATGGGCGTTAACTGCTGTACTAAGGTGAAGAAAGACCCGTAACGCTGAAAAAGAAAATATATACAGTATTCATTTATCCCCTTTGTGCTTCCAATATTGGTCTTTTTTGTCATTGAATTTTTGGTTCTTAATTTTTTTTTAACTTTGGATATTTGTTCAATATTCATATATTTATATTTTAACATTTTATTATTCAATCCTGTAAAGGGTGACATCACTGTTAGGCTTTAACAAAAAAAAAAAATAATAATAATTTGAATGTATTATTTTATAAAAAAAAATTATTTATTTGTTTTTTTCATATTTGGTTACTTCATTCATTAAAATGGTACTGTTCTCTCAAATGACCCAGTACGCATAAAACATAAAAATCGAAAGAAAAACAACACAAAATATCAAAAAAATTTATAGTACCTCTAAAAATATTCAGATTCCGTTCCCTGCCGAACTGGATCTGGTAGATTAGTTATAATAAGTATAATGTTTAAGAGAAGGTATTTTGGAGAGAAGAGACTCTGCCACTCAAGCATTTGTTATTCTAAGACGAATAAATGTTTATTTTTCCTTTTGCTAAGAAAAGACCAACCAAGAAAATTATGCTTTGAGAAGTATTATCGAAAGAAGTTAAAAAATCCAAAGTTCAAATAAAAGACATGGTAATGTGATATTTTATATAATAAACTTCCTTGTTTCCTTATTGAACATGACTATCTAATAAAGCAGAATTAAGTACAGCAACAGTGGGCACTTCAGGTACTCAAAAGCCACAGACTTGTATGAACTTTGACTGATTAAACCATTGTTTTATACATAGTTGTTGCTTCTGGGTATTTGCATACACTGACTGAAAATTATTTTAGCTGCTGTTTACAGGTAAAGCTCAAATTTTGCAACAATTTTAATAATATTATTATAATAATGTCTTTTTTTTTACATAGTGAAATTTGTATCAATAGTTGTTCTTTCATATGAACATAGCAGTTTGAACAAAATTACAAATTTTAAGAGCTGTCTTCCTGCGGCTTATTGGGTGAGTTGAGATGCTCCTCTTCCTGGAATAGTTTGGTTCAGGGAGTTGTTATATACAGTAGTGACATAACAACTCCCTGGTATAACCAAGTATTCTTCTCAGTTAAGGACTTAATACCGGTGGTTTGATATACACATCTGGCTTGAGTGCATTACACATCAGTAGGGGGCAGGGACAAATCCAGGGGCCCACAGGGAGTAAAATAGGGAGAGAAGAAAAGGAGAAAGAGGGATGCACGGTACAAGTTCTATGGTATTTATGATATGTACTTGTATATCAAATAATTAATCTGAATTTAAGGTAGAAGGACTTGTCCCCGTTTCAATAACTTCCACTGCTCTCCTTATATTTCTGCTGGAGGGCTGAAATACAATATGATATCAGGGTTCGTACGTTTTTAAACAAGAAAATTTCCAGAACAATTCCAGGACATTCAAGGTCAAATTTTCCAACTTTCAAGGACACAATATATAGCTTAACAGTGAAATATCGGCAATTTTACGACTGATTATAAAACATATGTGCTGTACTACTTTTAAATGCATTTGTTAGTTGAGTGTATATTAAGTTTTATCAAACTCTAATTCAGAGGCGATGGACCTGTCTCTTTTTCTCACGCTCGTGGGAAATTAAGTTTTTCTCACATGTGTAAAATTTGATTGTAAGCCAAGGAATTCTCGTGAGTATCGTGGGTACCGGTAAAGTAAGGCAGGGATGATCGCCTACAGTGAAGTAGAATTCTACTCTTGAAAACATAAATGTGCACGTACAACAACGGTCTCATCGTTGCTTAAACGTGACAGTGTCTTTTGTGGTACCGGCGCGCCCAAATAACACGGTTCTTTTGTGGCGCCGCGGGGTGGGTTACCGCCTGTCTATGGTGGTTGTTCAGCGAACAGCTGTGGCGAAGTTGACATGCATATACATTAAAACAATACAGCCTTCGATGGGTGTACGTTGCGGAGACGTTAATGCATCTCATTTCATATATTTAGGTGTTTATAAATGTTGTATAATTTAAAACGAATGATGTACTATATTATTAATTAATTTAATGGTTGCTCTATTCTCAACACATCATTATACTATACTGTATTATTTCGTTACTATTGGGCATAACATTATTATTAATATTTAGGTCTATTATTATTAGGCCTTAGTTGTAGGCCTAAAACTTTTATAATCTACTCTACAGCAAAATGTTAACGAACTGCACCATCCTACCGGCACTGATCTGCTACCGACCAGCATTGTTTTTCAATGATTTTGTAAACTTCAGAAACATAATTTACAAAATATCTTGCCCTAAATTCAAGAACTTCTAACGCCCTTTAAACACCATTCACTAAGAAAATAACTGCAGAAGTACACGTTCCCATGGTTACTTTAATTGTTAATGGACTGCCCTGCGCTGGATAGGGCCAAAAACATGGCCTTTCGTGCTGAACAAGTGTGCACGACTGGAGAGTAATGAATTACCCAAAGCGAATTCACGGGGCTGAGCACGTGCGACAAGACCTGTTCAACTGAGTGAAAGTTTAGTATTTCAGTACTGTTTATAACACACGACAGAAAGCAAATAACACCATAGCAGATGTCAAGAAAGTTAACGATTATGATTATCAATGTCTGAATTAAAATTAAATGCAAACATAATTAATATACAAGATTTTAAAAAAGCACCGTCTTTACATAGGCGAACAACCCTATTCACTGAATCGCGGAAGTTTGTCTGAACCAGCCAGTCGGTCATTTTCAGCAATGACATTCTTTCTGTCTTTGATAACATTTCTAAATTGGCGGCGTACAAAGACTTGACCTGGTTCTCTTAAGAGTATTGTGGGAACATACTTGTGGGAACGTTTCTCATTCAATTTACTGTTACTAGGCAACTTGTATTACTGCAAGTAATGAAATGATCAAATTTCCAGGACATTCAAGGACAATCTTAAATTTCCAGGACTTTCCAGTACTGGAAAATGCTCATTCGTTTTTCCAGGACATTCAAGGAATTTAAGGACGCGTACGAACCCTGTAACATACTGTAGTTACTAATTGTCTCGCACCATGCGGGACTATCCCGCATTTCAAAGTGATTTTGGTTGGAACGCGCGTTTTGCAGAAACACATGCGTGATCATAAATTTGTCATGCATTTAGCACTGGTCAATGCGTGATAATGAATTATCATAAATTTAGGGGAAATTGTATTTAAAATTAGAAGGAAATTAATTTTATTGAGAATATAAAAACGGTCATGCAGTAACTTGAGTCAAGACAGTATTATGTGAATATTTAATTCACTGACGCGTTACTAAAATTGATCAGTGCCTATTCATTTTTTGTTTGTGAACGAATGAAATGGTTGTGTACATATTTTGGGTGCTCAAATTAAACACAATGTACACTGAAACTCAAATTGTGAGTTGCTTAATAATAATAATTAAAAATATTTTTGTTCATTTACCGTATCCGATATTGTCATCAAATACTCCATGAAATCGAATTTAAAACAGCTTAAAAGTGTTCAGATCGTCGGAGCGCCAGGGGCCCTCGCACCCCCACCACAGCTCCACCTCTCCCGGGGGCCGCCCAGCCAACTGGTGTAGTCACGCATTTCAAATTTGGTTGGTTGGTATGTGATAACGTACCGTCTTTCGAATGATAAGCCATTGGTCCAGCATGCTGCAATGCCCCATTTGCACATAAAAGTTTTTGATGTTACCTTTTTTTTGGGAATTCTTATTATAGGCCGAATTTTTTCCCGTTTGTTTTTGGTGTAATGTGGTAGTTTTTTCAATGTTTTTTTTTAGGTTTTTTTTTTTTCTATTGATGAACTTAATTATAATTATGAGTGATTTTAATAATAATAATAATAAATAATAATGATCATTTTTTTTCCTTGTGCAATTCTATATTTAATCAATTAATGTTTATAATTAGAGTAACTATTTTTATAATTTTTGACATTTTTATTTTTCTATTCTTAAATGCATTTGTGTTGTCCTGCGCATTTTTTTGCCTTTTAAGTATGAATAATTGCAATTATTATAATAATAATCATGTTTGGATGTTTCCTTTTTTAAATTTTATTGCAAGCCCTACTTCTTTTTCCTTTTTTGCTGTGCAATTTCAAATAAATAATTGAATTAAAGATTTGAATGTCAATTTTTATAATAATGATTTTTGCATTTTTATTTTTTTTTCTCTTTATGAATGTTTTTTATAGTCTAATACTCTTTGCCCTTTTTTTAAGTATTTGTATGTTTATTGTGGATTTTTGTATTTTCTTGTTAACATAATGCAATAAGTTCTTATTACTACAATGTTAATTTTTGGCAATTCTTTTTGACTTTTGTATTGTTTACATTTGAATGTTTGAATAAAATATACCAGAAGAATTGAATTGAATAAAGAATTCAGTACACTCTTTGGAAAAGTGTAGGGGATTGTCTCCTAGTGTACTACCCAAATCACCACCAGAAAGACCCCACTGGAAATAATTCCTTTGGTACCATTCACACCAAAAATACTCCTACCCTATCCAAACCCAATAAAATCTACAACCATGCGTTATTATTACATTTATACACCATAATATATTATAATAACACCACCAATATATTCTTTAAAATTGATTAAACGAATACTGGTCATGGAGTTCAATTAAAGGGAAAATTCCATGGTCATTTGAGTGACTACTTAACGATCGTTGAATAGTACTTTTTCAGCTCTCAGAATACTCAGTGTCTATTTTAACAGTTATTAAATACTACTTGCAGTATTCACCTATTCATATATCAACTGAAATGTGGATGACTTGATTATTTACATAGTCATGTGCTGTTTAAACTGAGATGGTTTTTCAAGATCAAAGTACTTTAAAACAATTATTAACATATATGATAAGGTTTCCAGAAAAATATTTATAGGCCTACTAGATATGAATGTTTTAATGCTGCATGCTAGACTATGCAAATAAACACATTGATAGTGGGAGTTGCAGGTTCGAATCCTGCCAGAGAAAATTTGTTTAATACCACTGCATTAAAGAAAGTTTTCGTTGAAAGGCTATGTTTGATGACTTTATCTTGTTTCTATTAATTGAGCACTGTATTATTATTATTTGTTCATACAAGTGGGCAATTCCACGGTACTGACGTAATACTTTATATTCACATTGTTACTCTCTTTATTAAATATAAGAAAGACCAAATTATTTTTTTAATGTCACATGGTAGTACTAAGGGAGTGAAATACAAGAATACCAATTAAAACCTTTCACCATTTGCGGTACAGATTTAGCAGAGAAAATGAATGCAGTAAAATTAGACGCACAAAAACTAGGAATTAAAACAAATTCCAATATCTCATGTCATTTGAGTTGTATGCCATGGAATACTGCATTAGTATACTAGAAGTACGTGGTTAATGATTACAAGTTTATTACATTTTTTATAAGATATTAACATTTTTATAATGGTCAGTTGGTAACTTACATTATGCTTATTTGTTAGATTATGTAAAAAACAATTTTTAATCTATAAAGAAACACAATTTGGATGTTTTTGTGAGATAAATTATAATGTGGATTTATTCATAATTCTAGGCTTAATATAAGCCAGGAAGCTCAAATATTAAAAAATATTAAATTATTTGTCATATACTTCAAAATAACAACTTAAAACACAAACAGAATCAAATATAAAGACTAACGACAATAAGCCGATAGTGGAGTGTACTGTACAATACAAAACAGAACAATAATGAATTACTTTAATAGTTTTGATAAATTATATAAAGATTATTGATGGATGCTTCATAATGCCACCAGTCGTTAAACTACTGTATAAAGTATAGATTTATACACTACGGTAACTGACGTTACATACTGTACATCAATAGATTATTAGGAATTCCTTTATTTTATTTGCAAATGGGATATTCGAGGCATAGTTAGGAGAGAAGAATTATTAAATACCATCAGCCTCTCATTGTATGGCACAAATTATTAATAAAAATAAATTTTTTGGTAACTGATTTTACACTGGCGGATATGAATTTCAATTTCTAAACTTCAACATTTAAAAAAAGGAGCTAAATTTCTAGTTATTTATCAGCAGAGATGTCCCAACTGATAGCTCAATACCATTTAAACATAAAATCCAGATTGGTAGTTGAAAATAAGTTGATATAATTGTAATAAGGTAGTGCTTATATAAATATACTATAGGCTACACTACGGAAACTGATGTTACGCACTTTCAATATAAATAGGACTTTATTTTACTTTTTGCAAAGAACAGGCATGGCCTATTCGAGGCATACAGTAGGTAGGAGAGAAATTATGAAATACCACCAGCCTATCATTGTATGGTAAAAAATTATTTTAAAAAGTAGATGTTTTTGGCAACTGGCATTACATTGGAAGATAAATTACAATAATACAATTTTCTTTATCAGAAAATAGGAGGAGCTTAATGTACTGTAGCTATGTATATCAGCAGAGTATGTCCCAACTAATAATTCAATACCATAAATTATTAAATCCCAGTGTATAAATTTGAAAAGGTGAAAGTAATTTGTATATAATATATAAAATTTAAATTTGCATAAATTATGCAAATTTCCACAGCCATTTTAAAAAACAAAATGGTCGTCTACTTTCAAGCACAATACGTTTTCAGAAACTTCAACTCATGCACTATGTAGTCATATAATTTATTTTCCAAAAATCATTTTGAATTTCTTATGTTCATGTCCTATTTTACATGGAATTACCCAAATGCTATATTTATTCTTTTTGTAATAATCATCTGTATCAGTCTAATTTATGTATAAAAATAAATGTAAATTTATAGTATTCCTTTATTGAACAGTATTTATTCCAATTAAAACGGAAATCAAATTTCATGTGAATCAAGTTTTACGAAGGTACAAATTACATTCATTCAACAAAGCCTCATGTCAACCAACTTTTGTATTGTATGAGAGTATTTTGCAGAGCAGAATAAACATTAACGTTCACTCATGCGTCACATTCAGTAAAGTCTACCAGTCTACTGGCACAGTATGTCACTGAGGTTCTTTTTAAAAATTAAATGTATTTCCTTATTCAGAGACTTTGAAGGGAAAGAATAAACGTCAAGATGGGTGACTGTGTGCCTGATCAAGGTGAGAATATAGTTAGGCCTGGAGTGTTTAAAAGTGTTTAAATACTAGTGGAGTATGTAATACAGGCTTAAATAGATACAGAATTTGAAGTGAGAGTAAAACACTAAAAAGGAGCTGAATGGGTAGGGAAACCTAACCAATGGTTTGTAGAACAGGGCTATTTCTCATTGAAATGAGAATTGTGACTCTGGCAAGACACCAGCAGTGGTGCAGGTGAGGGTGAAATGGACAGTTCTAACTATTGTGTTATAGAACTTGACCCTGCGAAATCCACTGGATCTTAAGACTATCAAACTTGTGGAAATTGCATAGGTTGGGGGTGAAAATTGTTTTAAATACATTTCATGGTAATTTTGAGAACGTGCTGTAACTATGCAAGAAGTATATGGAAATGGGAGAGAAAAAAGCGGAACAAAATTATTGTCATTGGCCCTCTTTGTTGTTGTGAGAAGAGCCAATAATACTATAAAAAGTATAATAATCCTCCATTTATATAGTGCAAATTACTGCAATAAACTGTCTCTATGCAATTTTTAATTAGTAATACCGGCCACCACTTGGAACAGATTCACTTTTGTTATATTGTTGATATCTTTATATCTTTACATTAGTACTACTAGTAACCATTTGGAATAGATTCTCAGCTCTCTGGGGAGTGCTTAGCTCCCAGGTACCCACTTATACTAGGTGGAGAAGGTAAAGAGCCAAGCAATACAAACAAGAATATCAAACATGAAAAACAAGCTAACAATAAACACAACTCCATTGGTTATGGTTCACTAATTGTCTTTCAATACATTTTTGTGAATGGTTTTTAAAAAGTTTTTTGCCTCATATCACTTTTTAGCATGCTCCAATAAATTTTTATAAGTCAAAAATATTAATGTTTTTAGCGGGTGATTTTAATGCCAAACTTGGAAAAGCATTTGATTTTGATTTACCAAACATTTCTGATTATGTAGCATGGTTATGATTATGGTCATAGAAAAATTAATGGCAATGGTAATGCTTACTGGACTTCATTATGAGCAACGGTTTATATGTGTGCAATAGAGTACTACAGTGTTACGTCACGATACCATGTGATACTACTCCGTTGCTATTGTTGCAAAATGCGTTCAACCCAATGTCATTTTCGCCACTAATCCCAATTTCGAAAGTAATTATTAAGATGTTGTATCTTACTTTTTCTTTGTAAATTTTAATTGATAATTAAATGTGTGTTTGATAACTAATATAATGCAAGCTTTTGAGTTTTTAGTACATTTTGATGGTAAAATATTAGATTTTAAAATGCATATTCGAGAAAGCCTATGCATTCATTCAGGCTTAATGAACGGTAACCAACGTCTGTTGACAACAGAGAGCATCATCTAGCGTCGTGATGACATGACTGGGGTACTCTATACTGCCTTTCAGCACAAAGCTCCCCATACAACTACTCATACTATTTGGAGGCGGCATGTCAACAACTAATTATTATAGGCAAATAGATTTTGTTTTATTATGTCAAAGACGATTTAAATGTACCCTCAGCGACTCCCGATCATATGGAAGTGCAATTACCAACAGCGACCATAACGTTGTCAGTGCTAAGTTTGCGATGGACATAAGATTTATGACTTTTAAGAAAGATATTGATAGTCGAATTAATATAGAAGAACTCTCCGCTAATTAAGACATTCAATAAAAATATGAAATAAAGGGAATAAGCAGATACGTTAAATACCCAAACTAATTAAACTGCAATGAAGGAATAAACAAAATTACTGAATGCCTTAAACAATCAGCTCATGAATGTTTATGAACTGTTAAAGTTGGGCATGGGCAAAAACCGCTAACAAATGATCTGGCGAAAGACACAAATTATGCATAAATTTAAAAAGCTGCCAAGATTCAAATTTACGGAAAAATCTTTGTATTATTATAACATAATAGTAAAAATTTGATAAGCTAGTGTTTGAAACATATCAATGATCGAAAAGCAGATGCGATTGTCAACATCTTCAAAACAACAAACAAGACACGTATAATGTCAATTATGTAGCATCAGGGTCAGTCATTCCATGCCAATTCAACGTGGCAACAGAAGTCACCGTCTCAGATTTTGTTTAAATTTTCAGGGTTTGTTGTAATTTTAGTAACTAAGAAAAACTTAAAATTACCAATACTTTCCGAGATAACGGTGTCCGAAAAAGTGGACGTGACACACATTAGAGCCGTCGACGACGTCGTTATTTGGATTGTTTGATTTTTGAAGTGTCATAACTTTTTTTCTAGGTCAACTACAAAGCTTTTTGAGTAAATTCAGATTCTGCATTCAAATAATTACTTAAAAAAATACTTTTTGAATTATTACACCCCACCCTTTTTGGGAGGTAAAAGAAAAAAAAAAAAAAAGAATAAAATAGAGAAAAAGAAAAAAGTTATAGCCCAGACACCTCAAATGTTATTTTTGGGCATCTACAGTAGAACACAAACAGAGCGGGACCCCTAGGACAGTGTTGTTTCGATCAGCCCCACTTTCGCCCCCCCCCCTTCTTGGACATCTCTGGATCCGCCCCTGCCCGTAGTTGTAACAAAATTATTAAGAAGGCTTATACCATCCCACTTGCAGTTCTTCATATGTTGCAACAGTTGAGAAGGTAGGAACAACCTTTTACTGTCTATCTGATTCTAAAGCATGTTTCATTCTAAAACCATCTTCAATGACATGAACTTCGTTTGCATAAATTTGCACCTTTACCCTCGTCTTTTCAGCAATTTCTTTTGTTGCAAGTAGTGTAGTTGTACAGTCGTAGCAGCCAGCATTGTTGTGTCTTAAATATACAGATGTAAGCTTAGGTAGCACACTCTTTATAAACTACATCTTTCATTATCGCTGTTCCGGGTTTGTGTTTGGAAAACTGCAATGCAACAAAAATGTGCCAAGATATTCATTTTCAAAAAAATCTGCTCAAGATTCTCTGAATGCTGTAATCGGACCACCATCTGGGACATAGGGCTTCTTGTCGGGCAAATCCTGGCACCACCGCTACCACGACCACATATTAGGTATATTATTTCACGATAATTCCTGACTTGTCCCGACAAGAAGGGGTAGGGGTGTTGCATGATGTGGTTTGGGAAGAGAGGGTGTTATTCAGGGACTGGAATTCCCAGGCAGGTTAAGGTGCTGTGTCCAACTGGTGACACCACTGACATAAATTGGTATGTATAAAGTGAAATTATTATAAACTCACCTTAAAAGGGTTTAAAATACCGCTAAAACTGAAAAATGACCACTGCTTGTACGTTTTTTAATTACCCACATTTTTTAAACTGGAATTCAAGCATTAGAACTAGCTATTTGTAGAAAATCAGTTCTAAAAAAGCACCACTTTGAGGTTTGAGCAATTAAAGTTTGGAAGTTTTTCATAATTTAAAAAAAACTAAACACCCCTTTTAAAAAAATGGTATCTCCCAACTACGTAGGCACCAAATAAATCTTTTTAAAACAATAATTAATCATTTGTCTGATCGCAGCGTCACAACTGAACTTGATAGGTTAAGAATCATTGCCTAAAATCGTTTAGAATGGTAAAAAATGTTGGTTAAAATGATTAGGTAAAGAAAGGTTAGTCTCATTTTAATTGTTTCTTTTTTTAAAGAGAATTACTGTTATTTATTTCAATTATAATAAACAATTTTTATTTATATTCCATTATGATACAAGAAATTGAGAGTACTTTTAGTTTCTGAATAAAGTTACATAGGCCTTATAATAATTTTTTCTTTGACAAATGTCAATCAAAATAGCAAACTAATGACAAGTTTTTTTCAAACACAATCAAATATTTATTCATGGTATTCGGCTGTGTGTAACATTGCTTTGTTTTAGCGTGTACTGAAGCAACAATCTGCATACGTATAGCTAAATTTAATAAGTATACAGATATACTGATCATAACACTATAGCAACTGGTGACTGCTACAACATTTGATTATCAAAACTAACATTAAGAGACTGCGATTGACTATAAAATGCACTATACACTTAGCAGAAATTTATTGTACTTAAGTTAGATGCATTCAAAAAATTGCAGACCCTAAAAATTGTTTTCAAGCATTAATCTAACCTTCGTATAATAAATTTCCACTAGTGTATAATACGCAACTCTACTAATTGCTCAATATAGTATATACTGTACGTTCAGTTGTATGTTATAATATAATTATTTTAGTAATCAGTAGCATGAGATTTTATATAATTTTGGTTATTAAAGTTTAGTTTTCAATTTTTATATTTTTGTTGTAATGAGTTTACACTGTGAACATGACACTGACAGTAACTTCTACAGTAATTCATTTTATCAAGATTTTACCATTTAATTTATAACACAAGTTGTCGAGCATAATTTGGCTCTCTGTTTTGCTATAATTTATTCACACACACATAACTTGTGATTCTAAATTATTCCACCTTGAATATTTTTACAGTAAACTTTAAAAGCTTTTTAAATCATTTCAGGCCTAACTTTGTATCATGTACAGTTTAAGAATTCCTTCAACCCTGGAAAGGAAGAGTGCACTACAGTGGACCTACAAGAGAAAGAGTTGGTGTTAACGGATCATATGACAGGAAGAAGACTACTAAAACTGCTGTACAAAAACATCACATCCATGTACAGTGAAGGGGAATCCGTGGGCTTCCAATGCGGCAGAGGTGGGGACAGACAGGAGGTGGTCCTTACCACAAGCTTCAGCAACTTCATCTTTGCTTATATAACCAAGAGAAAATTTGGAGATCAGAAAGTGAAAATTCGTCAAAGTTGGGGGATGGACACGGATGCCACAGACCGCACGGTTGTCAGTGAATTCAAAGCGCCGGATAATACTGATGAAGCAAGCATTATAGCACCTGATAATGCTGATCATGCAAGCATTGAAGCGCCTGATAATGCTAATCATGCAAGCATTAAAGCGCCTGATAATGCTGATGTTACCATCAAATTGCCCAATAATACTGACAATAACACCATCAAAAAAGAACCAGAACACACCAATGTTGATCAAACACTTCATCCACTAGATCAAAACAAACCACCTTTACATTATGTGTACATGGTTCCCAGCAATGCCCCAGTTACGAATGTAGACACAGACGAAAAGTCTTCAGAAAACCCTGTGAAACCATCATGCCCAGATCCAGATCTCCGATTCAGTGTGCTTGTACGTGAAAACACATTTCACGGGAGTTCTCTTAATGGAGAAAGCACGCTGATTTTATATGATGACAAATTGTTACTTGACAACTCATATGTAAACACAGAGGAGTGGTCTTACAAGTGCATCAAGAATCACCACCTTTCAGGACAAACAATAGAGTTCACCTGTTGTGAAAAATCTCCTATGGGAGCAGGCAAAATCGTCTTTGAATCGGAAAATGCTAGTATAATTGATCAACTTCTGGTACAATTCATGGATACTTTTTATGTGCAGGTGTCTCAGGAAGATGATATCGCGAGACGTTTCAGTCTCGAAGGTGAATACAAACTAATCGTTCATTATAATTTCCTCAAATTATATAATCTTGATGATACACTGTGCCACTATTGGCACTATAAGAACATTCGATCATACGGCCGGAAAGCATCATCATTTAGTATTACCTGTGGCAGAGGAAGTAGTACTGGTGAGGGCATTATAGGTTTCAGAACAGAGAAGTGTAATGAAATCTTTGCAAAAGTGGATGGGAATGTGAAGGACCTTAAGATGAATGCTATAAAAAAGAAGTAGCAAGTACTACAATTATGATATTTAAATATTTGTTTGGGTTGTCAGCCAAACAGTTTGAGAACTACTGCGATAGTGGGTGACATAGTGGCCATCAATATTAATCAATAATATGACTACATAGACATACCCCCAAGTGTAAAATTTGTAATGTTTATATAGTGTATACATTGTAGTTTTAGTTATAATTATATATACTGTATATATAAATCATGATGTAGAGATGAACTCTAAATCGTCTTGAGGTAATGCTATAAATATATGAGTAATATTTGGAACATAAAACTGAAATAAAAGTATTACTTGTCGTTGATCAACTATCCTTGATATGATTATTACAACATGTTCCTATTTGAGTACTGCTATTATATATATATATATATA